CCTACAGTGAGCATTAGTTACTTTAACAATCTGGGCAAATTGTTTAAAACCTATGAATTCAGAAGGGACAGTGAAGAGACAGCACATAGAAAGCATTCAGTTAACCTTCACTGAAATGATTTGATTTAAAATGAAATAAGAATCTTGTGATAGTAGAATAATCAAATCTTTGAGCCGGGAGGCCCCTTGCAGGTCACTTGGTCCAGTAATCCACAGTAAACCAATCTTTACATTTAGCCAATTTATATCGGTATATTCATTATCTGTAACTACCTCTGGAGCGAGGCCAATTTGTTATCTCCTGCAGTTCTTGCTTAAGGTTGCTTGCAGGCCATACTCTGTTTGAATTTCCTCTCAACTTTCCACAAAGAGAACTATAAATTGTTTAAATTTTTGAGGGTACTCTTAAAAAAGAATACTCTAGGGTGTTAGTAATTTAAATATCAAACTATCCAAAATTTGCAAACAATTAAAAAGAACCATTGAGTATAGCCTGTGGAGGCAGACTAATTGTATGATGATTCAGGGTTTGGTTCTGAAATCTGGCTGCCTGGAGCAAGTTACTGTCAGATGAGTTTCCTCTTTGGTAAATTGGATTTGGAATAGGACCTACCTATCAGGGTAGTTTTTTTTGATTAACTGAGTTAATAACACATGCATTCTTGACCTGAAGTACGGGATTTTCATTACTAGATAACAAGGAGAAATGTAGTTCTCTTTATTCATTCTGCTAAATACCAAATCCTAGGATATAATACATAAAGGATTCTGAGCAGTGGAGAGAAGAAGCTTGAACCAGTGGGAATTTTGGGATACAGGGAATGACATGGAAATCAGTCCCTGAATTTTCTGTTTGCTTTTGTATCCCAGAATGGGTGCTAGAGAGATTGGTGGATGCAGGGAAACTGCTCCTGCCCCCCCCCAAAAAAAAAACCCTTTATATTCTGGACAAAAAAAATCAGGAAACTAGCAACCTCAAAAGACAAATACCATTTAGATAACAACCCTGATCCAGTCAAAAATAGCAAAAAACAAAAAATAAAAAACCAAAAAAACCCGTGACCCCCCCAACTCCATTTTTTTTTTTAAGATTTATATTTATTTATTTATACAAGCACTGGGTACAGTCAGAAGCATGGGAGGGTGAGAGAATTCACCAGAGCCAGAGCGAGGAACAGAACAGGCAGACTGAAGAAGTACACTACTTAGGGGAGCAGCGGGTGCGGCAGGAGAGGTCTGCACATCTTGTGGGACCCTTACCGGTGGCTGGGATTCAACCGGTGCTGCAGAGGCTGCAGGCAGCTTTGCAGCCCAGTGCTCAACTGCTGCGCCACCAGGGGAGGCCTCCAACTCCATTTTTACTATTAAAAATTTGCTGAATTGTCTGGAATTCTACTCTTGCTAGGCAATGACAGAGTGCTTTGAACATCACCACCTCCACTGATGGTGTCAGGAAGTTTATGTGGGGTGTTGGAAGTTTCCTCCTCTGAAGGTGAGGAGGTTGGGGTGCTCTTTAACTCATAGTGTCCTTAGAACACAAATGAGAGTGGTAATGAGGAGGCCCACACCTTCTTAGCATGGAGGGTACCACCTAAGCTAAGTGGCATCCTGAAGTGTCACATTTGTTTGTTTGTTTTTTTAAAGATTTATTTATGTATACAAGAGCTGGGGTACAGGCCAAAGGTGTGTGTGGGGTGGTGAAAGGATTCACCAGAGACAGAGAGGGGAACTGAACAGGCAGATTGAAGGAAGTACACTGCTGAGGGGAGCAGCGGGCGAGACAGGAGAGGTCTGCTGTGCCATATGGGTAGCTCCCTGGCCAACCAGGGAATCGAACTCTTGCTGCAGTGGCTGCAGACAGATTCATAGGTTGCGTCTCAACCCCTTGTGCCACCAGGGAGGCCCAAGAAGTGTCACATTTGTCTAGCAGTAATGAGATACCCTTCACACACACCCCTGGTGTTGTTAGCAGTCAGAATGAGGAGCATCCCAAGACCCCCAAACCTGCTTGCTCTAAATGGCTTCTGCCATCCATTGTACCAAGAAAATATATACTCTTAGTTCATAAGATCTTCAATAGAAAAGAACTTTAATATAATTAGTGTGTAATAGAGAGGCAATTAGTATGCACTAGAGAAAAGAGAAAAGAAAGATTATAATTAAAATAGTTTTTCTATGAAATCCTCAACGTCCCCCATCCCCTTGGGGGTAAATGCCCAGACAAACACGGTTGACCCAAAGCAGGGCCATTGAGGCCCAGAAGTTTGTTACAAGTCTAAGGCACCTTCTAGTGGGGACTTATAAGAAAGAGACAGAAGGAGCCGGACACTTCTGAAATGAAAAGAGCAAAATCAAAATACAAGTTGAGATAAAGGCTGGGGCCTTCCTGATGGTGCAGGGCTTGAAATCTCAGTGCTATCAAGCTATCACCAGCCACTGCTGCATGAGTTCAATCTCTGGCCAGGGAGCTAACCCACATGGTGCAGCAGACCTCTCCTGTCTGTCCCACCACTCCCACAGCAGTTTATTTCAGTAAATCTGCCTGTTCTTCTCCCTGCTCTGTGGTGAATCCTCTCACCACCTGCACTTCTGGCCTACACCCCAGTTCTTGTATGCATAAATAAATAAAAAAGTAAATCTTTAAAAAAAAAAAAAAGATAAAGGCTGCCATTGTCAGCTACCCCATAGGTCTTACACCCACATCTGTCTCTTTCAAGTGTCTCTTTCCATGTCCCCCAAGTCCTTGGTATAAGTCAAGGCCAAGAAGCAAGTGCGGTTTTTCCAGTTTCTCCTCTTCATGTGCCTCGACCAGGTCTTCGTCTAGTCCTCTTCCTCCTGTTCTTGCAGGTCTTTTCTTCAACTTCTCCTCCACTCAACTCCACCCTCCCTTGGGTGGGGTAGGGAACCTGGATCCTCCCTTAGCTGTGGAGATAACACTGTTACAGGGTGTCAGTTGAGGCCCAGTGTGGAACTGGAACTTTCCTGAACCCAGTAGCAGCGAGGCATCGCCTGCGTGGTCACATGTCAGAGGAGGCTGCCTCAGTGTAAGTTTAAATACTATCCCCAACAAGCTCCAGAGTCTCATAGTAAAATACCCTCAATGTCCAAGATACAGCTAAGTCACAGGAAAATCTCAATTGGAATGAGAAAAACAATTCATAATGCCAGCACTAAAGTGACACAGAGATTGGAGCCATCTGAGAAGGATTTTTCAGATAGCTCTCATGAATGTTCTTCAACAAGGAGCCCTGAGCATGCCTGAAACAGATATATATTTTTTAATCTCTCATTAAAGAAATAAAAATCCATGACAAAGATAAAAGACATAAGGAACCAAATGAAATTTAGAACTGTATGATAACCAAGATAAACATCCACTGTGCCTCTATGGTAGAATTAGGACCACTGAGAAAATCACTGAACTTAAGTGTAGGAAAGAGAGGTTATTTTAATTGAGTAAATTAACATGGTGTTATTAATTAGACCATCATGGCCACTGATTTGCCAAAGCAAGTCACTATTAAGTGAGCCCAAACAAGGGAAATATTCTTTACTTATGAAGGTGGAGCGAGGGAAAAATGTTTTTAAAAAGATTTATTTATTTATACAAGAACCAGGGTACAGGCCAGATGCATGGGAGGGTGAGAGGAATCACCAGAGACAGAGCAGGGAACAGAACAGGCAGATTGAAAGAAGTACATTGCTGAGGGGAGCAGCGGGCGAGACAGGAGAGGTCTGCTGCACCATATGGGTAGCTCCCTGGCTGACCAGGAAATCGACCCCGTGCTGCAAAGGCTGCAGACAGCTTCACAGCGCGGTGCTCAACTGCCTGCGCCACCAGGGAGGCCTAGATAAAATATTTTTGATGGAAGGAAAGTCAAGGGGAAAATTCAAACATTGGGTCTATCACACTTGACAATTCAAAATAATTATATTACCCACTTGTAAGAGAGTCATAGTTTGGAATTATTGAAGTGTGTAGGGTCATTTGACCCTGATTAAGTGATTCTTCTTCCTGCTGCCTTTGGTAGCTATTATTTCTTAATGCTACCAATGTATCTATTGCTGATTTTAATTCACTGCTTCATTTCACACAGGGCTCTTTGAGGGAAGAAATGAAGGTGATACTCAACTATTTTATAACAGGCCTTTTTCTTCTTCCTTTGATATTTTTTCCTGAAATTTTTCATTGTTATAATATTTGGTAGTCTGACAATAGGACACATGGACTATTATTATAATTATGTATTTTATTCTAATAAGTCCTAAAAAATGTGACAAAGGCTAACTAAACTTTTTCTTTTGGAAAAGTGAACTATATTTCTTTAAAATGTATCTCCTTCCAGCTACATGATATTTCAAAGAGTGGCATTGATCAATTAAGAGATGAAAGGCACTGAATTATAAAGGTTTTTTAAAAAATCAATTAAAATTTTACATGCATAGCCATTCTTTATTCAAATTATGAAGCATTTCCAATAGGCAGAAAAGAGCTTATATATTCTTTATGAAATTGGAAGCATCAAATTTAATTGAAAGGGAAGGGTATATTTAACTTTTTCAAAGAATTTAATTTTCCAGTAAGTTTGTCTTTTTATAGCAGGTGCCCAAACTTCAGTCATACATTTACCATTTGCCATCTTAGTTTAATGTGGCTGTGCTGCCTTTATAAACAGTTCATTTCATCCACGTAAAGTAGCTTATTTTGTGCTCTGTACTCTAGTCTTATCCTAAGCAATAAAATCCACAAAGTTGTCATCTTGAAGTGTGAGGTATATTTTTTTCTAGTGCACATCAAAATAAATACATATTTATTAAAATAGAAATGTCATTTCTATATCATTTTAAATACTTAGTTTACATCCATTACTACCTTGCACAACATGCATGGGAAAACACTCTTTTAAGGGACAGCTCTGCAAATAGAAATATAAGAACCTAGGGAAGCAACAATATATTTTGAAAAGTCATTCACTTTTTAATTTCCAATTATTTTTCAGGTTTGTAGAAGGAATGCTTAACATTTGTTATAATGCTGTTGATCGTCATATTGAAAATGGTAAAGGAGATAAAATTGCTATCATCTACGACAGTCCTGTTACAAATACTAAAGCAACTTTTACCTACAAAGAAGTCCTGGAGCAGGTAATATCAAAAACTTTCTGTATATGTTATTTGAATATCATAAGTATTACTTAAATGCATACATTAACATTGAGTAACCATTTTTTAATGTTTTATTTATTAGATAATGTTGGTTTACATTATTGTTTGTATTTGGTGTTATTGCACCCAGCACCAAAGCACCTGATTATGATCCACTGCCTTAGTCTATTGTACTCCCTCCCCACCTTGCTCTCACTCTAACTTCCTCCCCACCCCCTCCAGGTTTCATATTTCTATAATCAGTTTTCTGATTTATCTATTTCTTTGTACTGTTTTTCTAATTCCATTTATAAGTGACACCATCTGGTATTTATCTTTCTCCTCTGACTTTTTTCACTTGGCATAATCCCTTCCAACTTCATCCATGACACCACAAATGGTATGAGTGTCTTTTTTGATTGCTGAGTAGTATTCCATTGAGTATACATACAACATCTTTTGATTCACTCACCTGTTTTTGAGCATTTAGATTATTTCCATATTTTGACTATTGTAAATAGTACTTCTATGAACATGGGAGAGCATATTTCCTTTTGAGTTAGTGTTTTTGTGTACCTAGGTACATACCTAAAGGTGGGCTTGCTGGCTCTTATGGGTGATCCACTTTTAATCTTTTGAGGAACCCCCGTAACTATTTTCCATAAGGACTGAGCCAGTCTACACTCCCACCAACAGTATAAGATGCTTCTTTTTCTCTACATCCTTACCAACATTTGTTGTTTCTTGTCTTTTTAATATGGGCTCATATAAAAAAAGGCCCATATTTTTTATTGGGTTATTTGTTTTATTGACATTGAATAACCTTTGAATTTTTTAATTCATTGACATATGTAATGGTGTTTTAGTGCACATTGGAAATAGAGATGTGAAAGCTCATTGAGAGTTGTTTTCACCCTTTAACATTTACAGTCCCAAAAAGGTACTCATTTTATAGGGCAAGGTTAGAAAATCTCTAAGAATATGCTTCAATCTTCTTCTGCTCTTTGCTTGCCATCCACATTGCCATCACATTTGTCCTTTATTTTCTCCAGCTCTTGTGTTATTACTGAAAGAGCCTGCTAACTTCCTTTTCTTTTACCAAGCACTGCCTGGTTATTAACAAATGATTCAGAAAGAAAAAAAAAAACAAAAAAAAAAAATAGACTCTTATTATGTAGAAGGCATTCCGCCAAGCTCCATTTCTTGACATTCTTGACCACGAACAAGACTCCTCTTCACCCTGGATGTTCTGTCACCCCCAAGATACTCCCCCCCTTTACAGCCCTGAACAAGTGAGCTCCTGTCCCTTCTTATACTCTTTTTTAGTTCTTTACCATCAGTGTAGTTTTTAAGTGACTCATGGCACTGAGTGATGAATTATGAAAATTTTTCTTCTTTTATCATTAGGATAGATGAGTTTTTAGCAGTAATTTCATTTATTTATTTATTTATTTATTTAAGATTTATTTATTTATACAAGCACTGGGTACAGTCAGAAGCGTGGGAGGGTGAGAGAATTCACCAGTGCCAGAGCAGGGAGCAGAACAGGCAGAGGACCGAAGTACACTGCTGAGGGGAGCAGCAGGCGGCAGGAGAGGTCTGCGTGCCATGCGGGACCCTCCTTCGGTAGCCGGGGAGCAGCTGGGGATCGAACTGGCGCTGCAGAGGCTGTGGGCAGCTTCCCAACCTAGCGCTCAATCGCTGCGCCACCGGGGAGGCCCTTTAGCAGTAATTTTAAATGTATTTTGATATTGTGACTGTGTGAGAGCTATTTGAATTCTATGGGGAATTTTACTTACATGAGATTTTGAGGAGATAATTGTGAGATCAGGGATTCTCAATATGGACAATTTAGGTCAGGTGATTCTTAGTTGTGAACAATGTCATGTGCATGGGAGGATATTTAGCAGCTTTCTTGACCTCTATTGTGAAATTGCCCCCTCCCCAACTGTGATGACCAAAAAATATTTCCTAAAACATTCCTAAAAGTTCTGTGGGTGTAAAAATTGTCACCGGTTGTGACCCATTAGTTGAACAATCTGCCATGGTGGTGCTTGGAAGCATTTGCTTTTGAATGACAACATTTTGAAGCACATTCTCCTGTTTCACTTAGTCCATTTGAGGTTTCCATTAGATTTTTAGAAAGTTTAGTCCACTCTCTCTGGCTTCTGAAATTACATACTTTTGCATTAATAGCATTCCGTTTAACTAAGAGATTTCAATAAAGGCAACTGAGACAGAACAATTTCCTCTCCAATCCTGAGTTGCAAACAATTTAAATGTAAAATTAAGTTAATTTTGCTCAGGCTGGTTTTCAGCCTGTTTGCAATAACAAATCCCATATTTAGCTGATTTTGGTGTAAGTGGAATTTATGAAAAGGGAATATTGAATAATCAGGCACAAAACAATGGAACATTGCAAATGGGAAAAAGGAGCAACAAAGACTTAAGGAAAACTCACAAACTGTCTAGTAACTAAACTTTCTGATGACTCAATCTCATTCTAGGTTGACAGGGTAGAAGCCAAAGTTAGGTTGCCTGCCTAAACTACCAGATGGGAAAAGACATGTCTTGTCTTCTTTTGATTTCACAGTAGGAATTGGAGCTTTGCTTCCCTCTAGAAATCAGGCTAGGAAATGTCGGTATTAAGGGAGAAGGGAATTCAAATGCTGGGCAGCAAAGAAAGAACAAAACAAAATAATGCTGTGTATATATGACCAGGTGCTTTTTATTGGTGGCAAGTGGGAACTGTGTGTTTTCAGAATGAAATGCTAAAGGACACTGGGGCTAAATAGGAAAGGCCCTCTATTACCAAATGACTTTGTTATTCCTCAAAGATATGTTTTATTTATAAGAGATGATGAAAATTTCCTGAAAATCAATTATACTCCATGTTTTCTTTTAGGTTTGCATTTTCAGCTTTTAGGTGATGCTTAATCTATGACTAAAAACTAGTTTCTGGGACTTGGCCACATATTTTACTAATATTCAAGCTCAAGATACTGGTGCATTTAATTTATTTTTTTAAAAGATTTATTTATTTTTATACAAGAGCTGGGGTACAGGCCAGAGGCGTGGGAGGGTGAGAGGATTCACCAGAGACAGAGCAGGGAGTAGAACAGGCAGACGACAGAAATATACTGCTGAGGGGAGCAGCGGGCGCGACAGGAGAGGTCTACCGCACCATGTGGGATTCTCGCTGGCCAGCTGGGATTGAACCTGCTCTGTGGAGGCTGCGGACAGCTTCACAGTGTGGCGCTCAACCCGCTGCACCACCGGGGAGGCCCCAATACTGGTGCATTTTAATTGGTATGCAAAATCGGAAGCTTATATAGCTACATTATAAAAATATTATGTATGTCAACATACTTACTTTGATATATAACTGAACATCAGAATCAAAGAAAAAGGCTTTGGAGAAATCTAAAATAAGAAGAGGTAAATAACAGTTGTGCTATTCTGATTATCTATTGTCTTCTTTTAATTACATAAAACTATATGTGACACACACTCACGTGCTTAGAAAGCTTTCTGTTAGCTCATCTTGGTTTTCTAATATTGAGTCTAGACTCTTATTTTTTTTTTTTTTTTTAATAGAGGCATGTTATTTATTTATTTATTTTGTTTTGTTTGCTTGCTTTGTTTATACATGCACTGGGTACAGTCAGAAGCGCGGGAGGGTGAGAGAATTCACCAGAGCCAGAGCAGGGAGCAGAGCAGGCAGAAGGACTGAAGTACACTGCTGAGGGGAGCAGCGGGTGGCAGGAGAGGTCTGCGCACCATGTGGGACCCTCCTCCGGTGGCCGGGGAGCAGCCGGGGATTGAACCGGTGCCGCTGAGGCTGCGGGCAGCTTCGCAACCCAGCGCTCAACCGCTGCACCACCGGGGAGGCCCGAGTCTAAACTCTTAGATCCTTTAAAGGTTCGTACTGGTTCATTGGTTTCAGTTTAGCCTGACATCAAAGTACTTAGAAGGCCTATTTCTCTCACCTGCTGACAGTGTCTGCTTTCCAGGCTTTTCTTCTCTAAAGCAGTAAAGGTAGAATGTTATGAAAGAGGGAGACATTGTGCTCCCCTTTGATTAACTGTTTCTGCTTCCCCGTGGCCTTTATTTTATTAAGTAGAGAAGACAGGAAGATTTAATGGGTAATGCCATTGAGATCAAACAAAAAGAAGTGCCTTTGTACTTTACTAGCTTTATCTCCACTGTTTCATTTCTACTGGGAGTTTCTGGCTAGGTAAAACTTGATTAAGATAGTTAGCATTTCAAATTTCATTAGTGAACTAAACACAATTTTAGACTAAATCGGTTCAGTGACATGAAATATCTGAGGGTTTTACAAAAAGATTCAGAAGGCGAACTTTTCAAACAGCCATCTTCATGTAGATCCAGTCATTTGAATAACCCTTCATTAAGACTTTTTTAGAGAGTTCTGAGCCTGTTTCAAGATGCACCATTCATTCAACAAATATTTATTTTGTAGGCCAAACCCCTTTAGGAACAAGCAATACAAAGTAAATTGATCCATTCCCTATTTTTAAGGAACAACAACAACAAAAAACAACTATGTTATAATGATAAAGGTTGCAGTAGGGGTTAATGTTATTTTCTGTGCAAACATAATGGAAATTACCCAACTCAGCTAAGGGTTAATAGAACATAGACTTGAGTGAAGAGTCAACACCTAAAATCAACCCACCATAAGTGGAAAACCGTGGGGACAGGAAGGCTAGCACATATGAGGACAGGAAGACAACACATATGAGGAGACTGAAGAAGAGCAAACCTAGTGCCTCTAATATAAAGTAGCTTTAGTATAAAGTAGAGCACAAGTGGGTGGGGCCTAGGGCTCCAGTGTATTAGACACTGAGAGCTCTCAATGTCATCTTCAGAACTTTTCTTTATTTAGAGGGTGAAGGGAATAAAGGAGCAATAGCCAGTCCTTTCTGCAAGTGGTTCTGCAGGATCTAGCTCCTTCATATTCCTCAGCACCACCACAC